TTTGTTTTTGTCCGTTTCCAAGATCCACATCTCGAGACAAGTGGAAATGTTTGGTCATTATGAGAGTCTTTCTGCCGCTCCGCTGTTCGTCCCTGTCATGGAGAAGAATGAGCCTTTTGATACGTCCAGGCCTCGGATGCACAGTTACAGATCTCGGCGTCGTGTTTCTGTCCCGTTTCCTCGGAGAAAACTCTTCTTCCACTCTGTAGAGTTTCACAGCGTGACATTTGGAGGTTACCCCTGAACGCCTCGTCCTTGGTTCAGTCTTGCCGTCACATGTTTAGGACATTATTGAGGACCGTTATCGGCTGTTTAAAGGAATACAAACTTTCCAAAGTGCAACACAATTACACTCATAGGAGACGTACTGTGCAGTTGAAGCTAAAGGCTTTGACCAGGCAGACATATACAAGACTGACTATAGGATCATATCAGTGCAGCTAAGTCTGGGAGCTAAACTGTGATTCAGATTACGATTCTCCCCATTTATTGAATTCTGTCCAATAATAATTACTGATCAATTTGAATGATTTGTTTTTAGTAGAAAGCAGAAGGGGGAAAAAAAAGGCTTATTTTGAATTTAACCACTTTTGCCAATTATCAAGACACGCAGGTAATAATTTTAATATCAGGACAACAATAAAAACCAGAAAAAAATAAATGAAAATTGAATTGAGGTGCAATGAGACCTTCTGACCAGAAAAATCCATTTAAAAATGTGGAATACTGTGATATCCCTGGTTAATAATGGCTAATATCTGTAAAGTAATGATGTGTTTAGCAAATTTATAGTTAATTATGAACTACCATTTGTGAAAATACATATTTTTATCTTGAAATTATGGCCTATTTCTTTTTTTGTTTTACAATCAATATGTAAATTAATACAGTTTTTCCCCATGATTGTACTAGATATTATCTGTAATTTAACAAAACAGGGTATATACTTATATATATATAAGTTTTTTTTTTTTGTTGTTGTTTTTTTTAAATTGCCTTTTCAGACTTAAATATACATTTATTTATTTTGTTGCAAGTAATGGCAAATAATTGTAAAATAATCTATATTTTTCTTGCTGTTTTGAATCCGGTAAAAAAGTGTAAATTTATTATCAAAAATAAAAGAAGGAAAAAAAATACCGATTTTGATGTTGATCTTATTTACAGTTTTGGCCAATTTATTTCTTTACAATTAACATGCAACATTTTTTCTTGGGGGATTTTGCAGTTCGTTATTATTTATTTATTTCATGACTTTAGGAAATTAGTAAATTAACAGTAAACTGTAGAAAAACATATTTTTTTTACAGTGTACGTTGAATGTTAAGCACTGTGTGCTTTCATTGCGTCTTACCAGCAGTCACAGCGTTAAGCTGCGGTTGTGTAATCACGTATTAATTATTAATTGTCACACTGTACATGTTCACATTTCAGACCTCATGTCTCCTTCAACCCATCACACTGCTGAACACTCTGTATGAGGACGTCATGCTGTCATTCACACATTTGAACGTCACATTTCACATGAACACCTTCAAACCTCGTCCTGAGTTTTCAGTCAGACTCAGTCCTTCTGCTGGGTCCAGTGTTAGATGGAGGATCTTACCTGTGACTGTAGCTGCTGGAAGAATTCCTGCAAATGATCAATGAATCACTTCTGTGTCTATGAAACCCTTCAGAAACCTTTAGTCCATGTTAGAACCACCAGTGTTTGTACAACAGCAACAAGCAGCAGCCAGAGTTAATTCAGTTGAACCACACACA